TAATATTGATGATCCGCCTGCGACTGAAGCAGAACTTTCGCCATCTTCATCGTCAGCTACATTAATTAATGATGGCGCAGGATGTTCACGGGTATAATAATTATTATTTATATTAATTATAATTAATATAATTTCAATAATGATAATAGTTAACTTTAAAAATCTAAATTACACCTAACAATAAATTATACGTTTGTTATAATTATATTTAACATTTTTTTCTACTAAGGATTTTCATAAAAGTGACTCGTCAATAAGGGAATCTACATTTATTGCCTTCGATCAATCGAATCCTACTAAAAAACAGCAAACTTTGCCGAATATGATGTACAACATTTCTTCATTTTCAGGTAATTAGTATTCATATAACTTTATTTTTCTACCTATTTAAATATATTTTTATATTTTAACGAATAATAATAATATATTTATAATACCTAGTAGGTATATATTATATTACATAGATATAACACAACTTAAAAAAGTTTGATATATAAAATATCTAAAATAAAGACTTTTTCTACGCGTTTTTACGATAAAATATTTGAAAATAATATATAGGTGTGTATAATAATTATATAATATTATTAATTTAGCCGATGGTTCGAATACTGTAAAAATTACCGATGCAGTGGTATACTATTTTTTTAAAGAAAATGTCCCGTTTGCTACAATTGAAAGTCCTGGTTTCCGAAATTATATATGTCCACTTTATAAAATTCCCAGTCGTGACACAGTTAAAAGAAGAGTAGACGAAACATTTAGCGTATTAGCAGCTGAATTTCGAAACAAGCTTATCCAAGTTAAAAATGTATCACTGACAACTGATGTTTGGACTGAAACCATGCAAATGCGAAGTTATATTGGAATAACTGTTCATTTTTTTAACGGAACTAATATTAAATCTGGTAAAATTTCATAATATTTCTGGTGATAAACGTATATATTTCTTTATTTATTCGGAATAATAAGGTATTAATGTTATTTTAGGAGTCATTGGAGTAACAGAACTAGATGAAAGTCATACTTCCAAATATTTAGGTGAAGTTTTTGTTAATACAGTATCAGAATGGGGCATTGAAAATAATAATGTAGTGGCTGTAACAACAGATAGTGGGGCTAACATAAAAAAAGCAGTAGTTGACGAATTTGGAGAAAAACGACATTTAGCATGTTTAGCACATACTATTAATTTAATTGTGGAAAAAGGTATTAGTAAGACCCAAGAAGAAGATGCCACAACTAGAGTTAAAAGTGGAGGAGTTCCCCAATTACTGCATAAAGTTAGATGTATTGTTAAATACTTTAAAAAAAGTACCAAGGCGTGTGATGAATTAAGAAGTGTTCAAAAGTCAGAAGGTAACAAATACAATTATTAATAATTTTATGACAAAATAATAATTTCTTTTTTATTGTTTAATTTACAGGAGTGTCCGAAGGGAAATGCAGAAAATTAATGGTGTTCGGACAAAATCCCGCCTGACGAAATGCCGCCACCAAAATCACGTCTGGACAAAATCCCGCCCGAACGAAATCCCGCCGGGTAAAATCCCGCAAAAAAACATATTGTACGTAAATTCATTATAACGTAATTCGTTAAACTGTTTCAAAAGTTGTCTACTGCTGATCTGTATTGGTTATTGTTGTTATTTATAAAAGTATATCATAATATATATGCGGAACTGGTAATGCGTTATCGCTTATCGCTTGAACGATAACGCCGTGTCCTACGTGAGTCCGGCGAGTGCGGCAAACGCATTGCGGTGCGTGCGATGCGGCGACCAAAATAAACAAACCTGTGGTAACATGTCCGCGTTTCCAATGTACCGCCGCAGTCGCCGCATATGCGTGCGATCGAATTCGTTCGTACGCACCGGACAATTTGAAAAACAAATCATTTTGTTTTTGTCGCCGCACAAAGCTGCGTTCAGTGCGTTAATGATATAATATTATTACTTAATTATTACCTACAATGGAAACTAACGAACTTTTGATATCTGAAGTGCAAAAAAGAAGTGTATTATGGAACAAGTTTGACAAAAAGTACAAAGATAGACTTGTTTGTGATAAGGAGTGGACGATATTGGCCAAAAAAATGAATTTGGATAGTGAGTGTAAAAAAATAATAAATATATTGTAAAATATGAATTATTGTTTTTAATTATTATTATAACAATTAATGACCTATTATTAAAAACTGAAATATAACTACCAAATATAGATAAGAAAATTTTTTAATTGATTCATAATATAAGAATATTAAGTACAATTTAAAAAAAATAGTAGGTATCGGACATCGGTTATTACTTAATATTAATTATTAACATTTGTATTACTAATATACTTTTTGTCTATAAAGTGTCTATATGATACATATAAATATATTATAAAGTAAGATTGAAAATAGATTTAATAAAAAATGTTTAAAAATGGTATTCATAGATTGCTTCTTAAATTCTATTTTCCATAAAAAAATTTACGAAGTTGCTCCTGATTGCAATAGCTGTACGTGTAGCACGATTATTAGATCTGCCACCACTATTTAGTCTCATCATCTGGTGGTCATATGACATATCAATATCGTTTGAATTTGTACTGTGTTGTGTTGAAGTCATATTTTTTTTTTCCAAATCGATAATTGTGTTATGTAAAATACAAATTGCCTTGACAATGTGGTCTGCGTTTTCCACTTTAGTTTCAATAGATTTCAAAATAATTCTAAACTTTGATGAAAGAATACCAAATGCACACTCAACTGTCATTCTAGCCCTGCTAAGTCTATAGTTATAGTAAGATTTTGCATTATCTTGTGTCTGTTTTCGTGGAAATGGTCTCATCAAATAATTTCGTAGGGGAAAAGCTTCATCACCAATGAAAACGAATGGGGCTAACACGTTTGAATTTGGCAATTTGGTTTCTTCTGGTAGTTTAAGAGAACCATTATCAATCCGCTGATAAAATGTTGAATTGGACATAACACTACCATCACTGTCCTTGCCATACGCTCCAACATCAATCATTACAAATTTGTAGTTCGCGTCAACAACTGCCATCAAAACAATCGAAAAAAATTGTTTATAGTTGTAGTACATGCTTCCAGACTTTTTGGGACATCTCAATCTAATATGTTTTCCATCAATACTACCTACGCAATTTGGAAAATTCCACTTATCATAAAATTCTAAAGCTATCTTTTTAAATTTATCAACAGTTGGAGTTGGCATATGTTTGCATTTCAATGTATTCCAAATAGCTTTACAAATTTCCACGACAATATTTGAAACTGCTGTTTTGGATATTCTGAACGAAAAGGCAATTTGTCTGAACGCCAGTCCTGTCGCTAAAAACCTATTAAAAAACATAAACGTGAGCGCCAATATAAATATTTGGTAAGAGTTTCAAGTTTCTACGACTTTCTATACGTTTCTATACTTTTTAAATAATAACAAATATCTAAAACCATTTTTGGATAAATATCTTACGCAAATTAATTGTAAAAATTTAAATTTCAGATGTTCATAAAATTTTTTTCTAAAATTACGCTCTAGTTTTTTTTACAGTTACTTGAAATATAATATATATAACGTTATGTAGAAGTTTTAAACCTTAGGTAGTTAGGTATATAAAGAAAAAATTTTATGAATTTTTAAGAACAAAATTACTTGCAAATGTTTACGATTTTGACACATTTCGTAAAAATTTGAACTTCAAGCGCCTATAAAAAAAATTGTGACTTACGATTTTTGATTTTTTTTTATATCTGATAAGAACCACTTATAAGAAACCTTGTATTAAATTTTCAAGATTTTTTAGGCGCCCAAATTTTTTTAATCAATATTTCAAAAAAAAAAATATTTATGTTTGTATTTTATATGTATTGAATTACGAACATTACAGAAGATGATGTAAAAAGAAGGTGGAGAAATCTGAGGGATACTTTTTTAAAAGAAAAAAAGAAAGTGAAAAAATGTCGTTCAGGAGATTCTCAAGAGCATGCAGAAATTTATACGGGAAAATGGGCTTACTACAAATTATTGCTTTTTTTAAAAGACACAACTACGCCAAGGAATACTGACGGAAATATTTCTGACTTAGGGTATACTCATCAAGAAAATTCAGACTTATCAGAAAATGACGATACTGGACATTTTAGTGATTCTTATATTATGGAAAACATAAGCTTAGCAAACAATCTTGAGATTGAACAACCTTCACCAAGGCCTGAATCAGAATTTGAGATTGAACTATCTTCATCAAGACCCGAATCAGAAACTGACTCTTTTGCTATTCTTACAACAGTACCACCAAAAAGTTCAAGTGTTTCAGATGTTTCACGAAGTAGTTCGACAAAACGGAAAAGAGATAAATCAAATAAAGATTTTGAAAGTGAGTTACTGAAACTGGAGGAACAGAAACTAACTGCTTTACTTCAATCCAATATAACTCCAGTTATAAAAGACGATGACGATATGTTATACCTGAAGTCACTTCATCCATATTTTCGCACAATGAATCCATTACAAAAACTACGCATAAGAAACCAACTCCAGACTATATTTATTAATGAATTATCCACCCAAGTAAAACAGCCACAAGAACTATATGCTTCATCTGCCTCATGCAATAATATGTATTCCACTCAAAATGTAATGCATTATCGAAATACAAGTATCCAACAGCAAATCAACCCAACTGATATCGATAATGAAAAATACGAAGATATACCGGTTCCCAATTTTAATTTTTAATCAATGCTTTATAAAACTTGGAAATTTAAGTATATATTAATAAATAATAAATAAAAATTTTATTATTTGTTGTTTGAACAATTTCTTATCATTTTTTAATTTTATAATTAAAGTTTAAACTAATTACTTTTATTATTATGTACTAACGTCTTGCTTATGAATATTTTAAAATTTTTAGTTTATTTAGTTTCATAAATTACCTACTTAATACTATTATTATTATAAAAAAGATAATATTTTTAATTTTATATCCGATTTAATATTATATATTAATTGTTTTATTAATAATTATTCTGTTATTAAAAACCAAAGAAGGTTATTTAGCATTTTATTTTTTTTTTGTTATTCTATTTTATGTTAAAGAATGATTTGTAAATTCTATACATGTATCATATTTATTATATTATGATTTCTTTTAATTTGTATTTTTCTTATTAAGTTTACCTATAATTAAGTAAAAACTTACCTTATTGTCACAAGCAGTCTTTCTTCTATTGAAATAGGTTCTTGAAAATTTGTGGTTTGAAGGTCAAATTCTGGTGTAATTATTTCTAAAATATAATCAAAAGTTTCTGATTGCATTCTTGTATATGCTCGAAACAAAGCATTGTCACAACGTAATTGAGGGTACAAATGATAAAATTCACCAAAAGTGAATCGATCATCGTAAATACATTTATTTGCCATTGATCGTTTATTTTTTTTATACTTTTTGTACATCAAGTATTTAAGTAGACTACTTTCACTT